TCTCTGAAAACTAAATTATTCCAACTTTATGGGCAACAGTGTATTTATTACTCAATGGCTTTTCCTGTTGTGAAATCACGAGTGTTGACTAGTTGTTGTTTTGGTTTTTGACTTTTTGCAATGCCACTGGTTTAAGCTTTTTATTTAAGAAACTTGAGTGTTGTCAATCTCCTAATCTAAGTCTCTGCAAAAAAGCAAATAATCATATTTCCCAAAATGTTCCGTACTCTTTGCATCTAAAAACAGCTCATCTAATCTGCTTGTGAGTGCCAAATAGTCTTCCATGAGTTGAAAATTAACAAATATGGGAACTTAAAAACCCTGGTGCAAGGCTTTCTTTGTCCTAAGATGTGTTTTTCCTTAAGTCCAACCCCTTTTAACATGTGATTACCCACAATGCCACTAACGCTTTACCCCTGCCACATCAACTGCACAGTGTCAAATATTTGTACAGATGCGTTTGTAAATATGTTTGTATTAGTATCCCCTTATCTGTTGTTACCATAAACTGCTTTTACATGTTATTGTTGTCACTGTGGAGGAACTTTTAGGAGAATACAATTTCCCACATTGATGAACAGTGCTAGGGATTCGGGAGTCTATGTAGACCCCCCCCCCCCTCAGTATTCTAGAAAATGTCAAATCGATCCTTACATTCCACTGCATCAAGGTTTCACTCCCATTATGTTCTTTCTTGCTTTTCCTTTGACCAGCATCTGCGGTAATTTATTCTGCGACGGTCAGGTTTTTTACTCAATTAAAGGAAGTACACATCAAGTCACAGTCGGGGTGATTCCTCTATCACGTATTTTGGATCCTTATTTTTTTTATTAAGAAATGTCTTTGACATATTGATATGAGTCAGCCGAAATTCACTGAAGTTAGTCCAGTTCATGATTATTCGTCCTGTGAAATCCATTCCTCAAATGTCAGTTCTGCTTCCTTGCTAACAACATAGAAATCATATTAAATTGTCATTTTGAACTACGACCTGGTCAGTATTAGTCACAAAGGGACTGTCAGCTGTTATAAAGATACCCTGTGTTCTCATGGTAGATCAATGTTTGTGTTTGTCTGCAAGTCTTGTTGTCTATAATGATAAGATTATAAAGTCAAAATACTACTGATTTTGTAATTACTGGAATATATTGATGGTTTCATTAACATATTTTGAATAAATTGTATATTTTGAGAATTTTATATGGTCTCTTCTGAAGGAGTGAAGGTGTTATGTTTCTTAATTGTTCAGTCAGAATGTGCCCTGCAGGCCTGAAAACAAACGGGACATTCATATAGAAATCAATGGCCCCTTCCACACTTCCTGTCCCACTGTTGTTACCCTAATCAGACCACACCCATATTTGTACTCAGTCTTCATTTACCTGTAAGGTATCATGACTGCATCTTAAATGGTTGAAACGCAAGTTTGGTCACAAAATCTGTCCAGAGACATACAAATAATTAGCAAAGTAGTGAAATCTGCCTCGGTGGTAGGTCCTGCTACAGTAGGTGGAGCAAAGAAAACAAACGATAGCAGTGTCGCTAACGGTTGGTACCATTTTATAGTATCATAAAAATGATCATAAAATGTAGTGTTCGCGACTCAAAGTCTGTCCACATAAATATAACAACACTCTCTCCTTTGCCCACCTTGCTAGGACCATGCAGTCTTTTTATTGGATTGTGAACACAACTACACCTCTGCCTGGTTGCGACATTAATCTAATTTTATAGCATCACCATTATTTACTTGAAAGCGGTTTTGAGAAACAGGATTGCTAAAATCAGATTAATACTGTGTGCAGCTCACGTTTGCATGGCACATAAAGGTGACTAACAATTTATTTGAACCAGACGTGTGCTTCCTCTGCACTGCTCCTGCAGCTGAACACAGGCCGCGCTGCGGTGTCCTTCAGCTCACAGCTGTCAGGGTCTTGGCCCAGCATAAACTGTTCCTTCAATGATGCTCTGTGTTGTCTCTTTTCCTCTGCGTCTGAACTTCCTCTGATTCACTGGCTGCAGGGTCAGCAGGGTCAATATTTGTACAGGCTGCACCCAGGCAGTCATTTTTCAGACACATACTGTAACAGTCAGAGAGTAAAGAAGAGAGTTTGGAAATGTATAATATCTGTGTTTCTAAAAGGGCCACCATTTTGATATTTAACATTCTGTACTTTCTCCACTTTTAGTCTGTCTTCCTTGACAGCTCACATGCAAACAGCAGCCATTGGCTAACACAAGTGCTTATTCATCCTTTTCATTTGTGTTGATTTTAAAGGAGTACCCTTTTAGCACTGATGGAGTTGTCAGTCTTTTATGGAGAAGCTTATCAGGACATTATATTGGCTGGTAAAACATCACTAATATGTCAGCTCAAAACACATTAACTAATTTGTCAAACAAAGTAACAGTCCGCAATGTGTCTTGAGCAAATGAATCACTCTTTCATCTGAAGCTCCCAGAGTATGTCTAAGGCATATAGACAGAGAGGAAGACAATGACGCTGAAAGCACATGATCCGCGCTGCATCGACCTCCTCTGCGTGGCCTGGCTTTTGCTATTGTGCCGGAGCTACAGTGAGTCCCGGCCAGCTGGCTCCGTCCTCTCCACCGAAGGGTGAAGTGGATCAGTGCCAGAAAGAGCATACAGACGCATACTGGCCACTCAGCTGGACACAGAAATGGAGGAAGGATGATGGACGGCACTGAGGAGCAGTGGGGAGAGTGGAAGTAGGAAAATAAAGTGATGCCAGGAGTTGCTTAGACTCTGACGGCCATGATGGAGAGATGGGTGGAAAGAAGAGATGTTTGCACTGAAGAAATAAAGATGGCTGGCCTGAAAGAGGGCCTGCTCAGGGAGGAGGCCACGGATATTGACCATCCTGCCAGCTTGTTAGGAGATGGATGGAGGAGCTGAACAAAAAGAAAGAAAGGATGGAGGGATGGCTCAATGAGTCAGGACTTCTTCTTCGTTCCCAGGCTCTGTTGCACTTCACTGGGCTCCAGTGTTCTCACTGACCTGAATTAAAGATGACCAAGTAGTGAGCCAGTGTCTGTCTGCTGATACAAGTATATCGACCGAGGGATTAAGCATTCAGTTTCTCAGTCTTAGACATTGAACACTGTTTCAGTGTTATAGCTAAAACATTTATGCTGAATTATATAACAGAATCATATTTCTTTATTATCTAAAGTAGCAGCAAGTACAATCTCAGTCTGTTCGGCTCAAGCTAGATATCTCAAGAGCTTCTGGATGAAAGCAATACAGATCTATAGCCTATGTTGCTTATCTGGTGATGCCCTTACTTTTCATCCAGCGTCATCAGGTCGAAGTTAAAATGTTATCAATTAAAGTTTTTGAGTTATTGCCTCAGCTGTACTTTGTGTTCAGTGTCAGTAAGGACATGCTAGCATGCTAACACACTTAACTAAGATGATGGTCATGGTTTACATTTTAACTTCTGAATGTAGGCACATTTGCATAGTCATCATGAACATGCAAACATTGTGATATTAGCATTTAGCTCAAAACATCACTGTAAGTTCAACTTGTTTCGACGGCAAATGTCCCAAATAAATAAGTCTTTGTTGGTGTTCATGACAGCACAGTAACTTTGTGTTTGCCCTGACTTCACTTTATTTTCCATTGTATTCTCTCTGACCATACTGTCGTTGTCTGTTATCATCGATAAGAAACCCTTCTTTCTGACAGTTGGAGTATCAGTACCTCTGACTGCTACTCTGATATATTTATGTCTCTTTTTAACATGTCCCATTCTGGAAAATTCACGTTCTGATCTTAAAACTAATAAAAGGATACTTTGCCAAACCCCAAATACGAAGAGAGGCTTTTGAGATGAACAGTTATTTTAAATCATCCCACATGTTGAACTTGTGTCTTTACTGAGGAAAGGTCAGAGGCTCCGTTTCCGCGCCGACTGTGAGCCGTTTGTGGTGGCAGCCTGCCAAACATCCGCCCTCTTCTTTATCTCTCCTCCTACTCACCCTCACTCTCTCTGTGTGGGTACATAAACTGTAATGTCTGTTTAGGAGAGTTGTAAAGGCCAAAGAAAATAATGACTCTCTTATTTCTGAAAGCCGGTCATGTTTATCACATTATGCAACAATTATCACAGATAAAACCCTATATTTAAGGTAATATGGCACAATTATTTCACATTGAGGCAAAGCACAGCTGTTTCTGATCTTCTACTTTCCACCACTTCCTGTTCAGGTTAGGCGTTTGTTTGCACTTTTGCATATCATGTAACCTTACATCACAAACATAAAAGTTACTAATGTGTTACTGCTAATGTAAAACATTGTTCAAGTACTATACTTAAGTATCATTTTGAGTTTACCTTACTTGACTATTTACTTGACTTCTTTATATTTAACTTCTAGGCTTCAAGGTTTACATTGTGCATGCATTATATCTTGTTTTTTAAATGTAAAATGTTATTAACTAACTAACTAATTATAACTTGTAACTAACCAACTATAACTTGTTGATATATGTGCTTGCACTGCCGTATCTCCTAATAACAGTGACACCCAAAAACACTGATAAGAGCTAACAATATGAAGTAGGATATTCTGTAATTCCTAATTTTGCAGAGGTTTTCGTAGTTACATCAGTACGCACATATATTTAAGTTTTTGACTTTTTCCATTGGCTGTTTAGGTGTTGATTTTGGTATATGACATTTTTAGCTTTTGTTTGTTTCCTGCTCTTGACTTAAAGAATAATCCGAAAGAAGCATGTAGGAATGTAACAAAACAGACCACATTAACAATAGTTAGTCAGCAGCCTGAACCTGCGGAGTGTTGAAGTCATGTAAACATTACTTGAGTCTTTGAACACACATTCATTAGGCTATATAGCTTCCCAAGAGACGTTTCATGATATAACTGGATTGTTAGAGTTTCTAACACGTTTACACCTTTAAATGCCCCCTCCCTCCGCGCGAGCTTCGCTTTGTGCGGTTGCGCGTCAGCTCTCATTGGCTGTCGGTGATAATCGGTCAACAAGAGGACCGGAGGGAAGGAGGCAGGAGGGCACAGGGCAGCATGTGTACAGCTACTTAGCCTACTCATAATTACTTGTTCAAAACGATTCACCCGCTTAATTTCACATTGACCCGAGACACTGAATTGTTTTGTGGCGGTCGTTGACAATGTTGTTGTGTCGCACGGCGAGCCTGTCTGCCCTGGATCCGGCTTTCAAGTCCACGGGCTCGTTTCTAGCGCGAGTCAAAGCAAACAGACTGAGGGACGTCACTGTGACATTACGCAAGGGTTACACGTTTCAGCGGTACCGGTGTTTCTGTGGTTCCGTCCCGGGTGTCGATGCAACTCTTGAGCTCCTGGGGAAACAACAACAACAACACAGCCCGGACCGGGGACCTGTCCAGCACCGGGACTCACCGTGTGCTCCACACCGGCGACACTTCGACCGGGTGGCTACTATAGCTGTGAATCTATCCGAATGCGTGCAAAGTAAACGCGGTAATGTAGATATTATCGCGCGTGCAAACAGGCTGAGCAGAGGGGAGCTGGCTAATGGTTTGTTTACAGGTTACTGGGGGGTTTCAAGTCGACTCTGCTCCACAGGGACAATGCAGACCCGATCCTTTTCCACGAAGAAGAGCGAAGCCGGAGAGGAGCACACGGCTAACAACACAGAGGTAATTTAAACTGTTAAACTCAAGTGTTTGTCTAACCCCGGTGACCAGTTAATAAGAGCGCGCGGGTCCCAGTCTGTGTCCACACAGTGTTCAACCGGTGGGGGAAACCACTATAATGTCCCAGTGTTGCCCTGGTTGAACTCTAAACCATGAAATATGCAATAACCTGCCTGCCCGGGCCTCTTCAGTGACAGCCATCCTGTGAGCATGCAGCAGGCGTGTTATACAACCCTGCATGACGCCACAGCTGTGGGCTGTCTACATGTGCAGGGGACTCACAGATGTCCATGCATCATTTACACGTCTTCACAACTTAAATCAGTAGCAGAATAGTTACTTATGGAGTTCAGAGAGCACATGCTGACTCACTGTTCAACAGGCTCACAGAAGTATGACTCTTCAAACTGGACAGGAAACTGGATCTGGCTCCTTTTTTATTGAGAGTTATAGTAGGCCTATATTAAGTGAGTTTTGGCATGTGCTCTTCTGCAACACTACTTCACTGTGTATACTCTTCAGTGTTATGCAGGGTTAGAGTTTGAGTCATGCTCTGAATTACACAAGGATTATGTAAGGTAATACACATGGCTTAGATTCTACACCCTGCATGCAGCCTTGAGAGTCTGTCCTAAGGCAGTGTTGCTCTGAGCTAAAGGCTAACATTCTCACAGTTACAATGCTAACATGCTGATATTTAACAGGTTTCATGTTTGCTATGTTCACCTTCACCTTTCACATGCCAACAGTTGCTAGGAAAAAGTGCAGATGCAGTGCATCACATTTCTTGGGACATTTCAGTCTTCACCAGTGTCTAACAGTGTGGCTAACTTGCGTCTAAAACTTTCATATTTACTTATTTGATTAAAAAAAGCCTTAAGATTAAATATGTTGTCACAAAAAGGGAACATGTGATTTAGGACTAGACATACAGTATCTACATGTGCTGCTTACTGTAGGCATCATATAATTGTGGACACTGGCTGACATTTAACAAGAATTGCGGAGATAGGAAAGGGATTCAACAGACTTGATGTGCAACATTGGCCTGGTTTCCCTTTTTAATGAGACTATAAATTAGACAGTTCTGTTGCAGGATGCTGCTATAGTAGACTTTTGCGTTTTAGTTTTAATTTTCTAATCATGACCAGACTCTTTTCAGTTTCTTCTTAGCTTCTGTTTCAGCCATGCACAGGAGCAGTGGCGTTTTCTCCCGGAGGCCAAGGGAAGCCAGGCTTCCACTGTTTTTTCAGATTGTAGTTATAATTTAAATAAATAAATAAAAACACTTTGTTTTGTTTAGATAATTCTCCTTTGCTGTGTGTTGCTGCCGGCCCGTCTCTCCCCCATTCTCATTAAGTATTTTACAAAGAGTGAAACAAACAGCGCCCCTCTAGATGTTATGGTGAAACAGTAGATTGCACTCACTGTTGCGAGAGGAGGCCAGCCGAATCTGGCTTCCCTTGGTGAAAGAAATTGAGGGATTGACCAATCAGATGAGGCTCACGTGATGCCCCTGCCAACCTGTGATTGGTCAGGGCCATGCCAAGGGAAGCCAGAGTCGGCTGGCGATTATGGAGGGTGGAGATTTGGAGTATTTCATCAAAAATAATTGTACTAAACTTCCGCTACAGCAGCAACAACAAATACAATCTGATGACAGGCCGATGCCCAAACTGGAGCTGTGTACAGAGAGGAAAAAAGGAGCGAATCGGACGTAAAACGTTAAAGGTCTCCTGATTCAGTTTGTGAATGAATGCTTATTAGAGTTTCAGCTGGAGAGTGCGTGCGGACCTGTCGGTTAGATAACAGGCGTGTGTAAGTCCTGCATCTGTATGATACAAATGTGTGTAAAATGATACCGGGAGCTGTAATCACTCTTCTGGTTACGTTATTACCAGTGACGAGCCGTGACTTTTATACCTAGGCCCTCTGACCCCCCTTCCCTTGGAAAAAAAAGAAGAGATATTACGTCTCAACGTAGACTTCAGCGGAATATCAAAACAGCGGCCCGGGGTGCAAAACGCATCAATGACAGCGACCCTCTACCACACAAAACAACATCATTTATACCTACACCTATCATGACAGGGCACCCACAGCCAAGTAGCAATTACAAATGAATTAAGTCACGGCAGCCCGCATTGAAAATGACTTAGGCCTACCTTTGATGATCAAATCACTGAAACACAAAGTCCATCCTCCTGTCCTTTTGGATGAAGCACTTGCGGGTCATTCCTATAGGCCCTGGCTGCGGAACGCGGAATGGGGCAGGGTCGGATGTGGGCGGGGCTGGACGTCCGATGGGCGGGGTGTATGGATATCCTAATGACACAAACGGCATCATCTGCTGGACAACTACAATAAGTACAAATACAAATCTGCACTCGACTAAATATAATTTAAAAACTAAATATAAAAACTTCATACTAATTAAATGCATGAATGTATTTAAATATGTGGTATAAAAAGTCATATTTTCTATATTAGTGTATTTAAGTTCATTATTTAATATTTGTTTTAATTGATATATTAGTTTATTTAAGTATATTATTTAATACTTGCTTTAATTGATTATTCATTTAGTCAGTTCTGTGCATACTCATATCTAGTCCATATATTTCAAATGATACATTGCACTGCATTTCATAGAATGATAGAAAAAGCATTTATTATTTACAACATTTATCATATAACAGAACAACCATTAAGATAACAGAACCGAAAAAGCAAATACAGTAAATATAAAAACCAAACCAAGTATACAAAAAAAATATCTATACAACAGTGAAAGGCTTTGCTGATGCAAACATTCAACCGCGCTCTTCAAAACAAGCATGAACCTTAAGGTTTTTTTTGTCAATGCACTGCTCAAAAAACATTAAATAGTCCGACTCAAATTTGAACCTGAACATAAATGGGTCCATCCTGTCTTCCCAGCTGTCTTCGTCCCGCAGGTTGCTGGCTTCACCAAGGTTATGGAGAGCTGCTTCTCTGTCCAGTGGGGCCATGGAAAGAATTTGTAGCAGGATGACTTTATCTCCCATATTCTTTGCAGAGCACCACTGAGATGCCGCCATAGCACTACTTATAAAGGGGTGCTTCTCCTACAGCAGTGGTTCTCAAACTGTATATATTTAGCACATTTTAACATTATTATATGCTACCTTTAACCTTTGTGTGCTGTTTGGGTCTGTGGGACCCATTTGCAGTGTTTACTAAAAGAACATGTATGCAATTAATTTTTTTTAACCTGCTTTATTTGGTGGTGGATGTCACAACTGTAAAGAAAAGATTGATACATTCATCAGATGAGCCATACCATGAGCACAAACACCCCACAGTTGTTGGAGGCCCGTTGTCTTGGTATGCCCTATTTCATGAAGAAGGTGAGATTATATACACATATACACACACACAGTGTAGGAATCCAGGAATCAAACTCAATTAGTGTGCATCATAATTACTAACGTCCTCCAAGTTTACAGTAAAACAAACTGGTGGTGTGACCAATGGCCATTTACAATTATTAATACTATTACTATTATTAGTAATCAGAGAAAGCTCAGAGAAAGGAGTATGAATGTAAGGTTTCCCCACTGACACAGAGAGGAGGAAAGAATGTCTGGCTCAAGTCAGCAGGAGCAATTTAACTATCACAAAAGACAACAACAGCAACAACATATGTGAGGTAATCATATTTTTCACAAAACGAAGACCACACCATTGGGAAGCTTAACGTCTGTTTAATCAAAAATAAGGAACAGGGAGAGGCTTGCAAAAGCTCTGGGAGTTGAGACTCAGGTGCAGGGTGAGGGTCTCATTGCAGGTCTTCAGGCTCCATTGAATCCCCCTGGGGTTCTTGTGCTGAAAGAGGGAGACAGGAGAAAGGGTTAGATACATCTAGCAACCTAGAGGATGGGAAATTGCTGACCTATTTGAAACGTACCTTGTGTTTTCACTCTCACTTAAGTCCCTCTCCCTTTGCCATCAATCCAAAATCAGCTGAGCTGCAACATAATACAGACAGGTAATAATCAACAGAATCACAAAGATATAATATGACTGATAAAAACACTCACCCATAAGTTATGTTTTTGTTTACTGTTTAGAAGTCTCAAATATGCACTCTAAATCCATATCAATAGCGATGTATCACAAAAATAGCTCTCTTCCTTATTATTGTGTAACGTTAACTATATTATACTAGCTTGAACTCCAAAATGGATATCCTCACTTCACCACCTCCACCCACTACAATCACACGCCCCAATGTTGTATTTAACTAATATGTAACTCCCTCCACCCCGGATAAAAGCACGTTAAGAAGCCCCTTTTCTCTAATTGAACAACGTTGGAGGAAATAACATGAGGAGAACGGATTAATAGGCTGTTCGTGGTTAACGTGTGTTGCTAACTTTTCCGGCATCCTAGCCTAATCTGTTATCTGTAAACGTTAAATATACTGATTGAAGGGATAATCCACTAACATCGGACATCGGGGTCGGACATCCAACCCCGCCTTTTATCCGACCCCGCCCCATTCCACGTTCCGCAGCGAGGACCTTCTCGGTCATTCAGCTGATCCTTTGCCACTCCAGTTTATCATTGTAACTCAATCTTGAAAATGACTCGGTTAATAATTTCGCAACGATGTCCTCACTATCATTGAAGTGAGCCATCATGAACGAACTTATGCTAATCATAAATCTATCGATCATAAATCTATCGATTAGATTTATGATTCGAAAATAATAAAAGTAGGGTGGATATTATCCGGCTGAACAAAACGTGCATTTATCTAACAGGTTCGTTTTCCACAGACCTTATTTCAAGCTATTTTCCAAAATCCTATGGAGAAATCCCGTTGCTTTCTGTCGAGGGAATCCGAGCGCAGCTTACTTCCGGGTTTTAGGACGCGTCACTGCACCACTTGCATAGACCTCACAGCGGGCGGAACTTGTCATAAAGTCCGCGAAAATAAAGCCCGCCCATTTAGAGGGAAGATATGATTGGTCAATTGTACTGTCATTTGACATTACTCTCTCGTTGAGTTACTATAGCTGGCCCTCTGTGAATGTAGAGAGGGACCAACAAGCCCTCCCGTCTTCACAGTAACTCGCAGAGACGGCATTTAACCCTTCACATTCCAACAGAACTGAACAGGCAGATTCGAAGGATTTATTTCTTTGGAAATATTATTTTAAATACAATTAAATCAAGTTATTTTGGTAAAACTAATGAAAAATGTAACAACAAAAAAATAATATTTAAAAAAAAAACGTTTTTTTTTTTTTAATGTTTTCAAATATAATTTTTTAGAATATCTTAGGCCCTCACAGAGGGCCTAGAGGGCCCTGACGGCTCGCCACTGGTTATTACATTGACCACCACACCCCCGACCCAAAAGAAAGGACGTATTATTGGCTTCCCCTAATTTTCTTCCCACGCCACGCTACTGCACAGGAGGGATTCACCACTTCACCATTTCCCTCCCGCTCTGTCCCTGCATGTGTGTGCATGAGTGCGCTTTTGTCTGTTTGCAAAGCACTGTGACTTGGCATGTGTTTTCATGGCTCTGACAAGCTGTTATCAGACACAGCAGTCCCACTGTTCCCCTCCTATACACCCTCCCTGGCACAACTCCCTTTGGCCGCTCGCTCACATGACCCTCCCTCGCTGCTGCCTGCCTTTACTTTTAGCTCGGCCTGACCCGCCTCTGAAAGGCAAAGGCCTGCTCCCTCACCCACTCTCTGGTCTTTCTATTGTCCATTGTGGGCTTACAAGTGAATACGTCACCGAGACTGGCTTCATTAAAATGTAGCAAGACGAATTGCCTTGAAGAGAAAGATCAGATTGTTTTTGTCCTCTTCCCTTCTTCTTCATCCTCTTTGCTTTCATTGTTTCATGTCCTCCTGGTAAATAGTCTGAGTCAGGCCCTCAAAGGAAGCTGAATGTTAACACAGCGAAAAGGCATAGAAGGCTGATAATGAGAGTTACTGAGGCAAATGTCCCACATGGCAGTGAATGGACAACAGGCTGCATCGGCCTTTCACATGCCGATTTGTGATTTTTAGTTTTTTTTCAAAGCTGAATATGTCACATTTGCAAACATCTTTGAAGCTACTACATTAGCTTTAATGTTTAAAAGCGGATCATTGAGTCTTCCTTTTCTTCTAGCTGCCCATTTCTGCTAGATGATTTATCAGGACAAGTACGCTCAAAGACACATTTTCCATCTGCCTATTACACATCACCATTGAAATTGACCTTCACTTGAGGGTCTGCTATAATATATATATATATATTCTTTGTCATTGATAAGTTGTCTCAGCTTTGTAGGAACAAAGTCAATATTTAGTCTGATAATAGATAAATACAGTCTGGAGATACTTCCTGTTTGCTCAGGGAAGGATTGTGTTTCCTCTCGGCAGAAAGTATATTGTTTCAGATTGAATCACTGGACATGATGCCGTGCTGTCAGCTGCCCCTTTTACGGTTTCAATTTCCATTTTAACAGCCCTCATCATCAAAACGAAATGGTAGGCAATAAAGCTGAAATGATTATTCCCTCAGTATCCTTACTCATAATTGAAACCTCTAATGAATCCCGTAAGGGCTCAGTAAAAGAGTTTTTGTTGTAATGAGTTTCTACAGCTGCATGATCAGGGATGACCTTGAACTGGACTGTGGAAATATTCCGTTTGGCTCAGAATGCAGTCTCTTGGTGGTGTTTATTTATACTGTGGTCAAGTTTTTCCTGATTGCAGTCATGCTTTTATTGTATCACAGGGCTATGGGTAACTCTGTGGGTTTAAAGGGAAGGCTTTATCTTACCGATTCAGTTTTTTATTAACTTCCATTGCATTTTATTTTGATTACAAGTAGTTGTTTATGATGAACATGTTTACAATAAAGCCCTCTAGTTCTGTGGTGTCCCTAATATCTAATACTCCTAAAAGCCACACACTTTTAAAGAGCTAGTATGGGGTCCCAGTCACATATGAAATGTCATGGTTCAGAGGGTTTGTATAGCAGTATGCTGCCAGAACAGGTAGAGCTCATAGAACTCAAGAATGCTGCTTTAATCAGGATTTTCCACACCAAGATGTCAGGACACTTTTCCTGAGAAGTCAGTATCGTATCAGATCAAAATGGTAATAAGGTTTTCAGGAAGGGCATGACATGTTTTTACACATACTTGGTATTTCATAAGACACTCAAATGTAATTCTGAGTCCTGTGTTTCAAGAACTGGAGAAATATGTACATTTTAATGCTGTCCTGTCAATTTATACGCTGGCTCTGTATTCTTCTTTTGAAAGAAAACGCCCTGCTTCCCTAGCTGCTACTCGAGTGACTCGTACACCATCAATGCTCTGTTGCAGTCTGCTGTCTCATTGTTGTTGAGTGTGTTGTAGTTCACTAATCAGTTTAGCTGCAGCACACACTGGCGTGACCTGCCTGCTCCCGGTTACATGTCAGACTGTAGGATTGTTCATCTAGCAGAGTGGTGGGTCTGGAGGTCACACACACACACACACACATACCATAATGTGTGTGTTTGTGCACTATGAGAAGCTCTTTGTGTGTGTGTTTGTAAGAGAGTGACATACTTTTGTTCATGTGAGTGAAAGAGTAAGTGATAATGGGAATAAGCTAACCTCGCAGCAGCAGCAGCAGCAGTCTGTGTTTAATCAGCTGACTCAGCTCTAGACCAGTAGAGGTAGAGGAAGCTTGTAAAAGTCCAGGATTATATGAGCTGGATCACTTTGAACTACATGAGGCACAATCACAACACACTGTTGTTTTCTATTTATAAAGCATGGAGACTAAGCAGATGAGATGTTTAGAGACTGAAATATATATATTTGTCGTAACTCAGTTTGAGCAAAATGTATCCAACATAGACCTTTGTTTGGTGATTCAATGACCCGGCAGAGCATTAAGAAAAATTATGGACTTTTTTCACTTTTAAAAAGATAAAAACCTAACCGTGATTTCAGTCGTTGTTTTGAAAAAAGTTGACATTTTGAAAAAAAAATGTCCTTCCAAAAAAGAAGTGACACTTGCATCTTGAAGTTTGTCAGTTTTGTAGTTTGAGGGAGCTCTTGGAATATTAACAAAACCCTCTTTGCCATTCATATCTATTCTCCCTTTTGTCTGTATGTACAGTCTGCTTCCTGTAGCAGTGGGGATAGATTCTCATTCCTCCTCTTGTTTCATGTTGTCCTTATCACTCCCTCTAACTCTGCTCTCTTCTTTTGTTGTATATAAAGAAGGCCCCTACTACTTCCTCATCCACAGAGAAGACTGCGGGGGAGTCTGAGCCAGAGGGAGGAAAACCAAACAAGACCCAGCAGCTGAAGAAAGTCTTCAAGGAGTATGGAGTGGTGGGAGTGTCCTTTCACACCGGGTTGTCCCTCATGTCTCTGGGAATGTTCTACCTCCTTGTATCCAGGTGACAAAACATCAAATAATTGTTTTCTTTTTCTAAAACTAAGAAAACATATTATAGAAATTCTCCTTAGTATCTGGGAAATGAATTGAACCACTGACTGAAGTTAAAGCACACTGAAGGAAAAACAACAACAGAAAAGTAATATAAAACGCTACAACGTATTATAAAATCTCTGGCATGCATAAAACATCCCTTAGATCTAATACGATCCAGCAGTGTGCAACATCTGAGGGTAACATTTCAAGCTGTGCACAGGAAATGACTGACCCGTGGGATGCTTGTACTCCAAGGAATGCAAAATGTCTGCTGCAGTTTGGCCTAAAATAGAACTTGAAAATGTATTTTCAGTGGGCCACATCATCGTGAGTTTAGCTCAGTGAGATAAAATGTTTGAAACTTCCTTTATCAATCAAATGCTAGGTTCACACAACTATCAGCAAAGCAACACAATTGGAACCCAAGTTGCTGTTAAAGCATTCGTTTACGTATTTAGTTTACCAAATATTACTGGGAACTGGTTCAGGGCAAACATTTGTTTTTCTCAAACAATTTGAAGACGTCACAGACCAGTAATAGTGAAACAAAAACATATGATTGGTTGACGCTCCACTGCGTCTTTGAATCGCTAAAATAAGTTGTAGAACTCGTCTTGTGGCATAGAGAGTGCCGTTCTAAGATAGTATCTTCATGTCATCGTCCACTGAAGATTACAAGTAGCCTGCTGCTTCATTGCTAGTAGTGTAACATAGAATTGTGCATTGTGTAACCTCTTCCTATGGTAAAAGACAGTTAAAGGATAAAGCAGCATAGCAAAACCCTAGTTATCAGTCCGGACAGTTTTCAGGCCTTTGTCTGCCTGTCCGGCCACATGCCAGCAGATCCAATACCAGAGAGATTTAGCAGAGATTATCTGACAGCTCAGACATTTCCTCATAAAGCTGATACTGACCCTTGAACTGATGCCATACTGCGACTGTAACATGCATAGAGCATTATCACTGTGAGGCCCAGAGGGCATGAGGCCTGCTGATGCAGGGTCCAGAGGAAACAGTTGACAGGGTACAGAAGGACTCTTGTATTTAGCTGACTCAAGTTTGCTGAGTTGAGTTGTTAATGTGTGTGTGAGAAAGGTGTTTTTATTGAGGCCGCTCTAAGCCCTGTGTGAACATATTCTTTACATATTTATTCCCCAGAATAGCTCAGATGAAAAAGCCAGGACTCTACAGAACTGTCTCCCAAAGGCAGTAAAACATGTAGCTTGTTGATACGCTCCTGTTGATTTTCACGCACTTCACATTGCAGTGCTTCTTATGCTAATGTATCAGTTTAAATGGTTTAGAAGGCTGTAAGATTAAAAAAAACAAAAAACATTATACAACACTCTGTTATTGAACATAGCTCCCTCTGGTGGAGATGAAGGGGGCTTGCACTTAAAAAGATACTTGTCCACAATTGAAGTAATTCTTTTTTCTTTTTTTTTAGACTAATAATCTTTTATTTTATTTTATCGACAAATGTCTTTGTGCAGATTTGTTTTCTCAATAAAGAATCATGCAAAAGCAACTTTTTAAATCTCCTGTTAACCCATTATGCTCTTAAACTATAGGATCAATTTGACAATATAAATGTTAGTGTATTTGGACTAAATCATGAATGATTTTTCTTTATTGTTTTTGTTTTTTCCTCTGTTGCCTCATGAAAATCCTAATTATAGTCAATAGCATGACTAATTATTTAGTTGAGGTAATTATAATCACAGATACTACACACACAGGACGTCTTGTGTGTGTAGTATGGAGTAGTGAAGAAAAATGTCAAAAGAACATCATCTCCTAACATGTGATCCCTTTGTGCTTCTAACCAGTCCTCTGTCTCGTCTCTCCTCAGTGGGATGGATATGGGGGCCGTCCTCTGCAAAATGGGCTTCAGCGAGGCGGTGGACAGCTCTAAGATGGCTGCCGGGACCAGCACAGTCGTCTTGGCCTACGCCATCCACAAGCTCTTTGCTCCGCTGCGCATCAGCATCACTCTGGTGTCAGTGCCTCTCATCGTGCGCTACTTCAGAAAGACTGGTCTCTTTAAGCCACCCACAACTGCACCCTGAAGCCCGCCCCCATCCTCCGCTGTCATTAAAGAACAAACATCCTGACCGTTTAAAGCCATAATTACAACGCCTGAAAATATCCTTACTCATTGCCTTCATTTGGAAAAGCCTCATCTTCTCTCAGTGGTGAATTGAAGTGAAACACTGTCTCCATTAGTTCTAGTTGCAACAGACTCAAGGTGTTTAGTTGTGTTACTGTAGGATTAAAGTGTGACTGCTCTCTGAAAAAAGAAACATTTGGAGTCATGTCTCAATGTGTGTGCATTCCAGAAGCAAAGACTGGTACAGCTCAAATATTTATTTACAATCAGAGGTATGATCAGGGGTCTTTGAGCGGGGCTGTTTCTAATGCTGTAAGACGGTCCCTGTGGGGACACGTTAAAAAAGCTCATCTCCCCTGCTAGGTGACTGGCCTTGTTCTGGTGTTGTGTGACTCAGCAGAATCATTCAGGTTCTCTCTCTCTGTCCTACCTCGCTCCTGTCTCTCCTCGTCCCCTCCCTGCTCAGACGCCTACGCTCTGTTTTTATTTCTACTGTTTGCTTCCCTGCTATTTTTCTCCTCAACACCTCTGCTGGCATCCATTGTCTTCCTCCCTTCTCCCTTTGCTGTTCCTCTCTCCCCTTTTCCTCTCTATCTGCGCTCCCTTTTGTTTTTACATTTTATAAATGCCACGGCCCATGCAGTAAAGTAGAGTCCATTCATCTCTGAGTGGAGCTGAATGTCATTATTTGCAAATCTTGGATGAAAAAGTTGGTTTGTGAATGGACTGTATTTAACTATTTAAAAAAGTTATCTTTTATAGTTGTTGTCTTTGTGTTATAAAAATACCACCATCAGGAAATAAGGCAGTACAGTTATGACGGCTGTATTTGTGGTTTAAAGCAGTTGTAATCAATGTTCTTATATTACCAATGAAAATGGGATCCCTCGTTTTTAGCACCGGACTTATTTTCTCTGTTCCACTCATCCTTTAGTTTTGTTACCGACGCTAAACTTTACTGTTTAAATTCAGCTTTACCAGAGTCAGCACCGTTTAAACAAATAGCTCTAAAAACCCACTGTACGCTTCCTTCTGAGCACCAAACGGCAGTAAAGTTAGAAACGTGAGCAATTAGCAGCTAAAGAGGCAGATATTCCACTCAGTTACTGATGATTATCTATATTTTGAAGTGACTCTCAATAAATACTGTGTTGCTTTTTGTATGCTGAAGGAAGATAAACACCTCTTAGCAAACTACAACTCAAGGGTTGAAATTGAAGTAGATTGGTTAACATTCAATGTTTTCAAATGTGTTCTCGTATAATTGTTAGTTTTTCATGCAGAGGACATTTTCCATAGCCAGTTTGATTTGATTTGAACATTTTCCTTTTTGGTTTTCAACCCTTTGTCATCTGTGAAAAAACACATGCAAAATATTATTATGATTTGCTAATTTGCAATTAATTTTCTTAGACTTCCAACAGGCTTTTTTCAGTTTTTTGGACAATATTTACTATGTTGTCATTGCAGTTCTTTTCAACACTGTGCCATTATGTTGCACTTCTCCTTCTCTCCCACACTGGGGAGCTCTTGATCTAAAAACACAGCGCCGCTCTCCCCCATTACTCTGACACAACGCAACAACCGCATCATACAGTTCTCATCTCTCATATGATTGAATATCTTTGTACTCTTAATGTCTTCAAGATGGATAACGGCATTATATCACAAGAAGGAGCATCACTCCTCGTGCGTCCCGCAGTTATGATTAAGTAAAATGCTCTCCAAACTTCTCTAGTGTTGTTCTATCTGACAGATCGGTGTCTACAAAGCAAAGATAACGTCGGAGTACAAATATTGTGAGATTACTCAAAACATGAAATAATTTGCCAATCTGTTTGTCACAGACAACTGGATGATACTTCAACTTGAAACTAAAAACTCCATCATTAAAAGGTTTAAGCAAAGCACTGTCATGCTGGTGTGCCATGTGTAATTTAGTTACACTGACCAGTTTCTCCATAATAATTCATTATTTCTTTATCACAGCAGGCATGATGCCATTTCTCTCCTCTCTCCATGCACCTTCCTCCTCTCCACTTCTCTTTCCTTGATGATGTGAAGGGTCAGACCTCAGCTGGTGTGTTACCCTGAATATCTGCACTGTGGAGACGGGAAGATGCCTTGAACAAGACCTGATCTCCTCTGTGTGTGTTTGTGTGCGAGTGTGTGTGTACGTGCGTGTTTCTTGGCCAAAGTAAATAATTCAGCCAGGAGTTTTGTATGAAGAACTAAGAGAGTGCATGGTGGTGTGTGCCAGATATCAACCCGGGCTTTTCAGGAGTGGGAGCTTTGGCAGCACTGTGACATGAAGTGATACAAACCGATCATGCACATGCGTGCGCGCGCGCGCACACACACACAGGTCCACACAGAGTAAGAAGGAGAAGCATGGGCCTCATTAGCCATGATGAGGACAGGGAGCTGCCATCGCCTCTCCATCCCCTGCATGTCCCCCATGGCTAGGAACAAATTGGTGACAGCGCTCCCAGCCACTCTGTCGGCTACCTGCGATGCACTGGGCTCTGTCGGGCTCCTCTCCTTCCACACTGCTGTGCATTTGCACATAGTCCTCGTCACCTTTTGCTCGGCCCAGAACTGAGTCGTACACTTCATCTCGTTGTCCTCGAGTTGTGTGAAGGGCCCCTCCCGCAGCGTGATTCGGGGGGGGGGAGGTGTTCAAGGGGGGTTCAAATCCTTGCCTCAGCTCCTGACTTGTGCCCGCTGCAGCTTTTATTAACATCAGATACACAGTCAGCGTCCCCACACACAGTGCATCCATTATGGCTGTATATTCAGACACGGGCTGCGTCTGTGACTCCAGAGTTGGAAGGCATGTTTGTGTAGCGGCTGCAAAATGCTGATGCATGCAGGGATAGCTATATAAACATATGGCAACAGCACATGTGATGTTGCCATAGCCTATGTGTGCACACAGACCTCACAGACACACGCACTCCCTCACAAGCTGCCTCCTTCCCCTTCCCCTTGCACTTTCTTTTATTACATTTCCTCATTCTTATTATTTCTTACCATTTTCTCCCATCATTTCTGCACTAGCTCATTATCTCCCCTTATTACCTCCCCCTCCCATATTCCTCTCTCCTGACCCGCTCAGTACACCTGTTGGTCCTCCAAAGTGTCAACGTCCAAAAGCATATCTACTGCCAAACTCACGGGTTCAAAGCCATTTTGTGAATTTATTTTGATGGGAAGGAGTGTCATAAAGTTGTAAGGCACCATAATCATTCACGCTGCGAACACAATCACACTTAATGTGTTTTTTGGCATGCTCTTTATCCTGCGTCTTTTTCTGTTTTCTTTCTGTAAACATTATATTGTTTGGTCACTCCTTCTCTCCCACTCAGTGTCTCGCTCAAGTATCTTTTTCCTCCGCTCTTTTTTCCTCGCTATCTCTCCTCTCCTGTCTCCGAGTTAAGTTTAGCAGATGCACCTGATGGCAGCATCATCCTGGAGCACCTGTCAGCTGTCTGCCTTCATCATGGCTCCTCCGCTGCCACAGGGGCCAAGGGGAAGTAAACCTGGAGACAGTCGCTACTATCAACAGCTGCATCTTATTATTTTAAACACCAGTGCCAGTCAATTTCCACCAGAGATGCGTGCATATATTTATGTTTTTGAGCTTGCCACCTCCTCCTCATTGCTCCTCAGGATTCAGAAAATCAGCTGTTAAATCTGAGCAATTATAATGGAGCAGAGAGGGAGGAGAGGTTGAGGAAGAGAGTTTATGTAGCCTGTGACAGAGGGGATGAGGGAAGCAGGCAGAAATTGTCAAAGTGTTTTTGGCAGTTGTGGATGATGTTTTCGACTGTCTGTTACTGTAACTTAGCTGAAGGCCTGTCACACACAGGCAGCTGGGGCATTCAGTTCAGCAATACTTTAGATGCAGTGTACTGTGACACTCTTTCAGTCCAATTAAGGATCCGCCTCTTAGTTCAATTGTGGTCGCCATTTTGTTTTCAGTGGAGTCACAATATTGTTTCTAAAAAGTACACAGGCATTCAAATATTAATTTGGCTAAATGGCTTATGGGATTTTGTATCTTCTAGAGAAGATTTACTCACAATAAACAAAAAACATATTCAACATGAGATGACAGACTGAATGCAAAATGACACACAAGCAGCCCTCCTAAATCTGCTGTTTTCACATGGTTATACTATTCCAAAATTGGTTGTGCAATTGAGATATTTCAACATTAGAGCTGCAGTGATTGATTTATTAGCCTATCGATAGATAAATATTCACCTCAAAGGTTGATACTTGTCTGTGTTCTATATCATATTACACATAGTACATCCTACATACACTGAACAAAAATATAAACGCAACACTTTTGTTTTTGCTCCCATTTTTCATGAGATGAACTCAAAGATCTAAAACATTTTCTATATACACAAAATAACCATTTCTCTCAAATATTGTTCACAAATCTGAAAAAGCTGTGATAGTGAGCACTTCTCCTTTGCCGAGATAATCCATCCCACCTCACAGGTGTGGCATATCAAGATGCTGATTAGACAGCATGATTATTGATAAAATAATAAAGGCCACTCTGAAACGTGCATTTTTGCTTTATTGGGGGGGTCTGGGGGGGTCCGAAAACAGGGTAATGTTGTGAATCGAGTGGCCTGTGTTCGTCGTCCATAACATACGCCTGCCCATACCATAACCCCACCACCACCATGGGCCACTCGATTCCCAACATTACCCTAACCCTACCCCTACCCCTCACACCAGATACTGACTGGTTTTCGGACCCCCCCAGACCCCCCCCAATAAAACAAAACTGTACGTTTCAGAGTGGCCTTTTATTGTGGCCAGCCTAAGGCACACCTGTGCAATAATCATGCTGTATATATTTGATTATCATCTATTTATGTTCTATATTTAATTATTCTTCGACATCATTATGTTCCTATTTGACTGGGGGGGAAATATGTCATGTCACAGTGATTAAAGCATAGTGGCTGCTTCGTGCAGCCAGTTCAAATGACCTTTCAAAAGGTCATTTGAACTGAACTGAATTTTAACCCTTAGGATTTAAATAAAAAAAGAAGTTAACAATTGCCTCAACACGGCAACAAGCAATAATCTAATGACTCACAGTAAAACCAGCTATAATCCTAAATGTGGAAGTTCCTTGCGTGGTATACAACATTATTCCAAAGTCACATGGCCGAGATGATCAGTCATAATCAGTGTGTGTGCTCTTTGGGAGTGAAGTGAACTAAAATTATGCAAGTGCAGAAACAGCGCTGTAAACCACCAATGAACCGCCATTACCGGTCGAAGTCTGTTTGCCTGTACACACTTCATAATGAATGCATCTCATAAATCCTCCTTAAACGATTCCTCCTTAAATGATTCCCACAGCTCAGACTGTCTGCTCAGTGGAGGGCGCTCATGGATCAAACCATTAACAGGAAACGGGGCCGGGGTGGGGGGCGGAGGGCACCACGCTCGGGCCCCAGATCAGCACTCCGCCCCACCCCACCACCCTCTGCAGACCTAATGGAAAGCAAGCAAACAGACAGACAATTTCTTTCAATTAGCCCGTACTGGCCGGCCCAATAAATTGTAGTTTGTTCCTCAAGACGTAAGGGCCCTGTTGCATGTCCCGCTGAAAATGAAGACTAATGGGCTATTGTGGAGCTGCTGAGTGCTTGATTTTGTGCCACTACACCCCTCGCCTGCTCCTCATTCCCTTTTTCATCGCCTTCCCTCCTTCCTTGAGCTA